GTATTGTAATCGAGAACCATAATTGCTGATTAGTAGGACCATAAATCATAGATTTTAAGAGAATTTTTTAAGATTATATTATTAAAATGGATTTTAGAAGTTCCAGGTCAGTTGAATATGTTGCTTTTAAAAAATATATACAATATTTGTACACTCAACGAAATAATTCAAGATTTTTCCAAAAGATTTTTGAAAACATTACTCATTTATAAATAATGACTTTTTAAGCAGTCTAATTATGTATCCCAATATTTAAGCAATTCGTTCAATATATTCCAAGGGTATCACATTTACAGAAAAATTTCCGTAAATTATAGTATTGTAGGGTATCACATTGTTAGTACTGTCCGACCTTCAAAATTTGCTTACTTTTTTGAAAATATATTTAAGGCCCAGTTCTGCATTTTTTATACATGTTTAGCCAGGCGGCCCATATTCCTTATAATACCACTTTCAGTCATATGTATTTTCATGTAGAAATCGCCAGCCCAAATTTTGTGAGCGTGAAATCATTAATAAAAAAATTGGTAGCAAATGTCTCCGCAAAATATAGATTAATAAAGGTTCTGATTGTAGACTTTTCTCTAATACATTTTTTGCCCTAATTAAACCGATTCCATAGAGCAATATTCCAAATATGCTAACATTATATTAGTTCTTCTATCACTGAAATTTCCAATCGTTAAAACAATCAAAAAAATTCAAAAATGTATTAAAAATATTGTTTTGTTCGCCAATTAATACCCCATGCCAATAATTAAAATGTTTCACCTATTACCGGCACGTGTTAAAGGTTTTTATCCCCCCACAGAAAAATATATATTAAAAATATATATTTGTATCATGGTCCAGTTCATGAACCCAGTGCAAAAAAATAATATTAAAATATAATTCAATGAGAATTTTGTGCATCGTTGAAATTTATTTATTTGCTGATGAATTTAAAGCAATTTTTGAAAAGACGTCTCAAACAGAGTCATTTATCAAAATATGATGCAATCGCTAAAAATTCAGAACAAAAACAGCAGAAGAGAAGAAACAACACGTAAAACAAACATTAGAAAGTGAATTTTTGAAAAATATATAATGGATATACCATGCAAAAAATAAATGTATTGAGATATACAGATAAAACTGGGGTATATATTAACACGTGCAGTTATAGATTATTGATCGAGGTGGCAATGCTCCACAATGAATTAGAGATTAGCTTCTTTATTTTCTCGGGAAATTTCAACTACCACATTCTAGTTAATTTCTTCATTCATATCCAAAGATTAGTTATTTTTTACATTTATTTTAATATTTATAAATCCTTTATGTATACAATAAAGGCTTTCGAAATCAAAAGACTTAAGACACGAACTCTATCAAATAATTTTCTTATGGAGAGTAAATTACTGCACCACATATTTTGGGGAGAGAAAGCATAGAAAGAGAGACGAGAGAACTATAATACAATTATAAATCAAGAAGAAGTTATTGGGCATATAAATAATATTTGAATATGTGAAGGAAAGGAAAAATCGAATATTATATAAATAATATATTATTATATATTAAATAATATATTATTCGATTTATGACAGCATTGTATTTTATAAAATAAATGAGAGATTAAAAGAAATTAAAATAAATGTATGGATAAAAGAACGTTATATATTGATGTATTTCCGATATGTAATAACATACGTCAACAAAATACGCCACCAATACAAAGGTTAAAAGTGGAATTTTCATGAATATTTTGATCCCACGGGAAGTAAATTTCATTATTGAAAATATTTTTGATTGAATGACAGCTCCTGGTTCTTTTCACACAAAACACATTGTTCATTTCACCCGTGAAATTTTATCTGATGGCCATATAAAATGTTTTCGATTCGTTGCATACCTTAGATATTTTGCGACCCACTCTCAAAGCTACGGACTTTTTTTTCCAAATGTACTGACCAGTTAGATCAACTCAGCTCATCAATATATAATTATCGCTGTATTACATGATGGGCCTAAATCCAATGTTTCGATGTAACATATTTTTTTTTTTTTGCCCAATTAAATTAACGGTGTTATATTTTAGATTTTGCGAGAACAACGAGAAATCCAATGTTTGTTTCTTAAGTCTTTTGTTTTTTAAAATTATTTATTTAGAAAAACAAGTAAGCAAAGGCTACGGTCGTGCGGGGCCGACCATGTGATACCCTACAACACAACAATATGTTAGAATCCTCTTTATGTCCTAATTCATTAGGAAGATATCGCTTTTGAAATTATGTTACGGAGCACAGCTCAGATATTACCCTTAGCATTTTGGCCAGGGACATTTGCCCAATATTTACGCACTCCATCGTGCTGTTAGTGGTTGTGGTCCATTTTACAGCTAAATATAATAAAATGGTCATCCAAAATGCCACACTTCTTCACTTTTCTCCTCTCAATTGTGGCGATTGGCTTTAACTGTGTGGTCAGGAAATGTTTTCTGTTTTTGGTTTATTTGAACCCCTAAATATTTTGCGATCATCTCCAAAAGCAAGAGGCCCCTCTTTATCTCCAAATTGAGACTCATCTATATGATTTGCTTGTCTACGATATTTGGCTATATTCGTCAACGAAATCAGCATAAAAAAGCCAGAAGTTCGCCTTTTGTGTATTTCGGATATCGCCCGTAAGTAATGATGGCATTTTTCACACAAAATTAGTGGACCATTCTACCCGCTGTCCTAAACTCTAACCTTATGCGAGATTTCGTGTCCTTTGGTTTCTATTTGTGACCTTTATAACGGTTACAAAATCAGGAACATTTTTAGTTGTTGGTCCATTTCAACCCCTAAATATATTACGGACATCTTTGAAAACAATAGGCCTAGCCCTTCTGGGCCCTTTGTGAAAATTTTCGTGAGGATCGGACGATATTTGCAATGCTTATATAATAACCCCAACCTGTGTTGTAAGGTGAAAAATATTACAAAATGTATACCTTGATATTATAAGTCAAATTGAAAAAATCGCATGCGATAAAAAATATGAAAAAATAAAAAAATGTCACAAAATACTACAAAATCTATATTAACATCTTTATTGGCATATTTTTCCGCAATTTTTTTAGATTTTATACTTTTATGCCAAGAGGGCATTCTGAATTGACAAAATTTGTCAAAATCGGTGCAGCCATTCTTCAGATATAAGCATTCTAACTAATATCCCCTTGCTTTGTATATATACATTGTATATATTTCGCAATGCGATATATTTACTATCGGCGTCTACGTAACGGTCGGAATTGACCTGTTCGTCATTTTGTGATTTCGCCGGGACCAAAAATATTCGCGGTTTAATGGAAAGTTTTACTTTTATTTAACGCAAATGTTATGGTATATATCACCCACTTGATATTACCCGATGACCATCAAAATTGGAAGGCTTCTGTCCAGCCCTAAGCTCTAGCTCCATGCTAACTTTCGCTTCGATTGGTCTATAATTGTGACCTGTAGAACAACTGCAAAATCAGGAAATTTTTCAGTTTTTGGTCCATTTCAACCCCTAAATATTATGCGATCATCTTCAAAAGAAATAGGGTTCTATTCTGACATTAAACCCACCTAGATTTTCAATTTCGTAAAGATCGAGCCATAACTGCGACCTGTAGAGTGATTACAAATTAACATGGACAGACGGGCATACATAGCTAGATCGACTCAGCTCGGCGAGCTAGGAAGATCCATATATACTTTCCTATGTGGGAAATCAATATTTCGAGGTGTTACATAATTTTTGGCCCAATCAAACTTATAATACCCCCAACACAAAGTGTTGTAGGGTATAAATACGACATTCATTAAACCGCGAATATTTTTAAATCCAGCGAAATAACAATCCTTACATTGATGCTGATGTCCAAGATTCGCTTATGCCGGTTATAATTCAAGTACGTCTGAACTGATTTTTTCTAAAGTTTGCGTCTTAAATCTTTTGATTTATTTTTTTTTTTTTTTAATTCAATTTTCTTTTTCCAAAAATCATTTGCTAGAAAATTATAATTAATCTAGAGTATGTGTCTCAAGTCTATTGTTGAAAAGAGTTTTATTTGTAATTTCGGCTGCTATTTTCCATTAATATTATTTGCAGCTATTTCAAAATTTTTATTAAAAATTCCAATTTTAAAGCATTTGGAAATTTAAAGTTTGTGTCTTAGCTCTTTTTAATTTTTAATGATTTTATTGAGATAAGCTTTAGTTAATATTTGGTATTTCATTGTTCTTTTCCAAACTTCTCAAGAGTTTGATTAATGAATTTCGGCCATTGATATTATTTCCAGCTGTTTCAATTTTTTTTATTTCTAATTTATAAATGGTAGCAAATTAAAAGTTTGTGTCTTAAATATTTTTTCTAATTATTTTTTATTTAAATTTTGGTTAATTTTTAAAATTTAATTTTTTTCCATTTTCTCGAAAATGATAATGAATCTAGAGTTTGTGTCTCAAGTCTTTCCTTTAGAAAAGTTTTTTGTTATTGAAATAAAATCAAAATTTCGGCCGCTATTTCCCATTAAAATTGTCTTCACTTGTCTCAAAATTTTATTAAAAATTCCGTTTGTAAACAATTGCAAATTAAAAGTTTGTGTCTTAAGTCTTTTGATTTAAAATTTACTTTTAAAGTAAAATAAGAAGAATTCGAGCCCAATATGTTCTACCACGTAATAGTAGAATCTTACATGGCAATGACAAAACATTGTTTAGCATAATATCACTAGATGGCGCCACATGTACCATTTCTGAACAATTCGAAAAATATGTTAGCCTGAGTAAATATATTTTCCTTTAGTTTAATATCTCCACAAAAAAAAATTATAATAGATTTCAGAATATTTAAAATTATTTATCTCAACATTCCACCAGGAATTTTTTGCATTTGAAATAATTTTTCAATTATCCATCAATTTTCACATTCCCACTAAAAATCTCATAAATTTCGCAATATTTTCTCTATTTATTTTTACTTACCTTTCCTGATGAAAATCCAGATTTAGGCTGTTATATTTAACGTTTGCAGGAAAAAAATTATTTGATTGGGAAAAATTTTGCAATTTTTCTGTTTCAGGAGTTTTCAATAATTTATTTTTATTTTATATTCAATTTATTTAAATTATTTTATTAAATTTAATTTTATATATTTTGTGTATTTTTCTCTTGAATTTTTCTATTTCGTTTTTTGTTATTTATTTTCTAAATATGTATTTAGCAACCCCAAATAATTGATATCGTGTTGCAAATGATTTTTTTTTTTGTTTTTTTTTTTTCTGGAAATTGTTTCCGTGTTTAGCGGCCTTAAACGTGTGTAAAGTGGGAGTTGTTTGTTAGTAAGCTGCTGTAACTTTGTCTGCTGCGGCCACGGTTACGGCTACGGCTGCTGCTGTGGCTGTTATCTGTTGTATTGTTGGCTGTTCATTTGCTCTAATCCCATTTGTTTATTGAGTTATGTGAACTGTTTTTATTATTTATTTGTATTGATCTTTTGTTGTACTCAGTGTGTGATGTGATGTGTTGAACGGAGCGGAGCGGAGCTGTGCTGTGTCTGTGCATTTCATCTCGATTGGTTAAACCACACCTTTATTGTCAAATGGAATGTTTGTATTGGTTGATAGGTATTTCATTTTTATCTTTTCGTTTTGTTTTATTTGAAAACAACTTTTTTTATGGTTGAGATTTGTTTTTTCTTGGTGTGTTTTGCGGTATCGTGTTTTTTTTTTTTATTTCTGTGCTCTGTAGATTTTTGCAGTGGTATGCGATGATATTTGACAAGCTGGGGATTTGCTTTTTATTTATGGAAGTGTGAAAAGTCTGTGTTTGCTTTGGTGGGTACTCTTTTTTGTGTGCAGTTAATATATTTTATGATATTTTCTTAAATAATTTGGAGCACAGTAAATTTTTTTAACTAGGGAAATTCTTAAAAAATATTAAGAAAATTATTTTTTTTTTATTTTTGCGTTTTTATTTTGAAAATATTTTTTTTGTTTGAAAATATTTTTTTTATGATTTTAATTTCTTATTGTCTTTTTTTCTGATAATTATCGGCTGAACGCACGTGCATATGTTTTTTGTATTTGCTCTTGTTGTTATTGTTGCTGACGATCTTTAACACCCCAATCATATGGCGATTACCTGCCCTTACATGCAGCCACCTCTCTAACTTAAATTCACCGGTCACGCTTTATTTTGTTTAGCCTGTGAAACGATCGGAGCGACGGCTTTTTTTCATCGGTTACGACCGGTGGTCACACTCACACCAAACGTTAAGCAAACGAGCACCGTTTAGTTGGCATTCGACAGTTTAATGCAGCAAATGCGTTTTGTCTCCCCACACAACAACGCCACGACAATATGGATGATAAGAAAACGATCAGACGGGCCTACCAGACGAATACGGTCGAATCGTAACGGCGACGTAATGAAATTCTTTTAGTTTCTGGTTGGATGAATGGACGGAATAGTGGCGATGGTGGTGTGCAAAGCGAACGTAGCGAAACATGCACCAGCAAGAAGCGCGAAGTACCACTAAAGACTGACTGTGATGTTAAATCGTTCTGCAAAATGCCTCCAATACACGAAATACACATGAGCTCACAGACACACAACAACAACAACAGCAATAATAATAACAACACCAAGCCAGCCAGCCAGCAAGCCATTCAAGATAGCCAAGCAACCAACTAAACCAAACAGTCAGTCAGTCAAGCAGCCAGCGAGCAAGTCGATAGACATGTATGCGGATCCCCTCAAAAACACAAAAAAACACCAACTACAGAGAGATTCCTAGACCAGACTTGGGCTAAATGTTAGGTGGACAAACAAAAACAAAAAAAAAATCGTCATAGACAAAAAATACACCACCAAAAACAGATGCTCAATGTTATGACTTTGAGACTCTATTCCAAATATCAGACAACTCTACTCTACTCTACTTAAGGGGGGAACAACCAAAATAAAAAGAAAGAAACACCAAAAACAATGTCTTCAAAATCCCATCAATAATACTCTTAACAATGATGATACATTGGTTAACAGCCGTAAAACTAGCATCCCTGTTAGATTTTCAATAGAAATACACAAACAACTCGAAATTATACTCTTATTTTTTGTTATTGTCCCCTTTGAGAAGAGAGCCAACTCTCAAAGATCTAATACAAAAATAAATAGAAGCACCCCTTTAAATAATAACATCAATGAAGATGCTACCCAATACAATAACATTTCCCAATAATAACACAGTAATATTCTCTGTATCAAAACAGAGGGAGAAAGAGAAATAACAGAGAATGTAAACAACAGAGATTTAAGCAACCGACTAAGTCCATTGCTAAAGAGAAACAACAGTAACTAACAGAGTACTGTTGTGAGAGTTATTTACATTTGTTTTCTCTTCTCTTTTAGTGGCATGAAATTGAATTCTCTTGCGTTTTTGAACTTTTGAGAGGTTAACATGCTCATTGTTGTTTGTTTCTTAAGTCTTTTGTTGTCCAAAGGGGGTTTATCGACGAATTAAAGAGAATATGAGAGCCTGACAGAGTAAATGAAGTTTGCTTCTTAAGTCTTTTATGAGAAATTCGTTATTTAAAGGTGTTTTAAAGAAATTTTGCAAAATAAAAGGTTAAAATTGAAGAAAAATTAAACAATTGATTTAATGGAATAATAGAATAAAATGAAAAATTCAATAAAGTACAATTAACAAATGGTTTTTGGAAAAACTGTCTATTGGAATAAATTAACATTTTTTTCGATAAATTTCGAAATATATTTTTTTGCCTAAAGTGTAACAAATTTCAAAAGTAAAATGTTCTTTTATTTTTGAAGATATTGTTTTTTTATGCTGACCTGTTGTATATAAATTCTTAATAGCTTTATTTTGGCTTGAGGTCAATTGAAACATCAGCATTTTATTTTCATAATTTTGATTATTACTTTCCAATATTTCAACATCTTCCGCGAAATATTTTATTGAGAAATGCAAGAACCTTGTTTTACCGTCTATACTTAGCATATATTTCCCTAAAAAAAAAACTGAGGTTTCAATCGATCTCAAGCCAAAATGAAACTATTAAGAATTCATATACAACAGGACAACAATAAAAAATAACAACATCATCCTCAAAAATAATATAATATTTTACTTTTGAATTATTATTAGGAATTGAAGATGATCGCAAAATATTTAAAAGTTGAAATGGGCCAAAAATTGATAAAATCCTGTTTTTGAGTCGCTGTACAGTTCACTATTAAAGACCAATCTACACGGAATTTGGCTTGAGAATAGAGTTGAGGACAGGGCAGAAGTCCAGAATTTTGGATGGCCATTGGATAATATTTAGCGGGTAAAATGGATCACAAAATTTGTTTGAAATCGAATATAGGGCAAATTCGTCCGGTTAATTCAAATTCATTCTTCAAAATCGTTACATTTCAAGACAAACGTTCGGAAAATGTGTACTTGTGAAGTGCTCTAAGGGCTTGTGGATTTTTAAAATTTCTATGAAATCCCTCAGAGACATCGATGTAGTCAAGTAGAAACCATTTAAATTAATCAAACCGAAATATTGGAAAAGTAACCCCTTAAGCAGAACCCGACCCTTAAGTTTTTTTTTCGGACACCTTCGTAAGTTTTTGGTGGTCAAATTCATCCTTCAAAAGCGTTACATTTCAAGCCATATGTTCGGAAAATGTGTAGTTGGAAGGTGCTCTAAGGGCTTGTGGATTTTTTAAACTTCCATGGAACCCCCTGAGACATCGATGTAGTCAAGTAGAAACCATTTCAATTAATCAAATCGAAATATCGGAAAAGAAACCCTTTAAGCAGAACCCGACCCTTAAGACCTTCGGAAGTTGGTGGGTCTTTTATTATATTATTATATATAATTATCTTTCAGAATTCATTATTTTAAAAATGTTCTTTGTATTTTTACATTTTTTATTTATTTATTTTTTAATTTAAAATTTATTTTTGGATTCCTAAAAATCTCGTAATTTTTTTTTAACATTAACATTGGGTTTTGTATTTTTTTTTTGGATTTTTATTTTTTACATTTTTTATTCATTTATTTCTTAAATTAAGATTCTTAAAAACCTGGTAATTTTTTTTTTTAATATTTACCCACTAACATTGGGTTTTGTAAGGTTTTGGGGGATTTTTATCCTGTGAATTTAAAGAATTTGTATTTTTCCAACAGATTGACTGTAAGCTTCACTGTTTTTTTAAACTTATTTTAATTTTTAGAAATTAGAAATTCTTTATTTTAGAAATTCTTTATTTTAAAAATTTAAAGATTTCTTTTTGGATCATCTCTCGATTTTTAAATTATTACCCACTAACATTGGGTGTTGTAAGAATTTTTGGGGATTTTATTTATTGTGAATTTATGGAATTTGTATTCATTTAACAGATTTTCTGTAAAATGAGTAGATTTTTTAGAATTTCTTAAAAAAATTAAGATTTTTTATCCTTAAAAATCTCGTTTTTTTTAATAATTAAAAAAAAAAACATTTTTATTATTAAGTTTTTTTGATATATTTTATTTCTTTAATTAAAATACTTCACGATTTCCGATCCTTAAAAATTTTGTGATTTTTTTTAATAATTTTGTTTCTCGGTCCCTTTTAGAAATGCCTTGATTTTTAAGAATTTTTTGGTCGATTACATCTTCATAATAGTTTTTATCAACAGCTTTTGCTTCCCTTTAAAACGTTCTGTTAAAAAATATAACATTTGCCTTCATTTCCATGTTAAAATGTCATTCAACAAAAATTCTCTTAATTTTCTCTTAAAATTCTCTTTTTCCTTGCCCCTTAAAATTTCATTCTAACCTCTGTTAAATTATATTTCATTTTACCAAGCAAAACAGAAACTAGTTTTACCTAATGCTCTGTTGTTATAGTTACTCTCAGTTCATTTACACTCACATAAAAGAAAAAAACACCCCAAACAAAGATCAACACCACCACTGCCACATTGCCACCATTGTCCAGCTGAGCTGTTCATTCATTAATTTCACTGCTTTTGATTGGTTGAAACTAATTTAACAGAGCAAACCGTTATAAATAACAAGATCACATGCAAAGACAGAGAGAGAGAGTTTTACTATTGTGTAGGAGAGAGAGTG